TAAAATATAGTGCTAGAAACAGTATTGTGATATACAATTGGCTATCTTCCTTTTATTATCGAAGCTATTAGAGCCCCTTTCGTTTTTTGTATTATTATTTTTTTCAGGTATTATAGGGTCTTGAGTAGGCTTCGTATATTAGCGAATTGTCTAGTTTGCTTGTAATAGGATTTCTGGGTAGGAAGTGAAACCAATTCAACGTTCGTAACACGATTTAAAGAGGTATTTTGCGTGATAAATCAGCATCAATACCATAAGTTCGTGACATCCCACTAAAACATAAGGAGCCGTAATTAAACAAAATGTTCTGCCCTACAGACATGGGTGGATTGAAGTTATCTCCCCACCTTCATGTTTGCTGGTCAGTAACGCCACCCTCCCTCCTTTTGTGATGTTAGGCTCTCTTACGTTTGTGGTAAGTATGAATACTGCTTTAATCAAAGCCCATAGTTGGAATACACTGTCTCTACTAGGTCCATGTTACAAGCAAATCAGATAGTTGAAAAGTCTGTTTTTGGGTTAGATGTCCATATAGTATATCACACTACTATGAAAATAACTAATGGTTTAAAGAAGTAAGGACTAATAGCAAATCAAAAGATATGAGAGGGTATAAAATTGTAGAAAGAAAAAAAAAAGATTTCAGGGTAAGAAAAATAAAACATTGAGAAACTCACAAGACTTTGTGGCCAAATTTTGAGCTTTGTATGATCGGCCTTAGTAGATCAGCATCCATAAGTTTGAGCTATCTGTCTAATTGCAGTAGAAAGAAAAAAGCATGACTTTTAGGAAGAATAATGTACATTTAACCTGTAGAGATTTGGGGACTGAAAGCTAGGGTTAGGAGCATGAAGTCATGATTAATAAACAATGAATAATAGGAAAGGATAGGCCATATATTCTGTGATTTGGTTATATTCATATTAGTAACAGTCGAACGTGTTATAATTTTGTTCTTTCTAGACACTAGGCGGTCCGTAATAAAGTGCCTCATTGGTGGGCGGGAGTTCAAGGAAATGTTGAAGCTCTTTGGAGTCTAGAAATAGGGTTATTAGCTTTTTGAATCTGGTAAACGTATCACAGTTACGGATAGGCATTGGCAGCCTGTTCCACAATAAACTGTACCGTACTGTAAAAAACTTACAACGCATTTGTTTTTGGTGTTTTACGGTAAGTAGTGTATATGCGTTGTTTCTAAGTCTATAGGCTGGGTCGTGGGTGATAGTCGGGCAGGAGGTTAGAAAGGAGAGCCCATATATCGCTTTGTAGAGAAATATTAAATTGTTTCTTAGCCTACGGTGCCATAAAGGTTCTAAAGATAGATGCTTACATCTTTCTGTGTAATCGAGATTCGAGTTACATCCTAGTAGTTGACGTGTGAAACGTCTTTGAACATCTTCTACTCTTATCTTGTCTGCGATATTCATATTAGAGAAGACAAAAGAGCAGTATTCAAGGGAGGGTCGTACACATATTTTGTAGAGAGTAAGTTTACCCTCTGTTGTGAAAAAGTTTTTCATTATAAAACCAATTAGCCGTCTAGATTTAGAAATAATAGAGGAGGCATGTTCTTCAAAGTTTAGGCTTCCTGTGTAATTAATTCCTAAATCGTGTACTGATTCGAGTGTTTGGACTCTACATTCATTTAAGTGAAGTCGCGGTTTATAGGGATGCTTTCCAAAGTGCATGATCCCGCACTTGTTGAGGTTAAATGGTAATTGCCATTTTTCACTCCATATAGTTAAGTTATTGAGGTCCTTTTGGATCTGGGATACACTTTCGCTTAGTGTCTCAGGCTTATAGCTGTATACTATTTTGAGATCATCAGCATATAAGTATGGTTTCCCAAATTCTATGGTGTTACATATATCGTTTATATACATAAGAAACAAAAGTGGACCTAATACGCTTCCCTGGATGACTCCACTGGTGATTGGTCTAGGGGACGAGAGACAGTCATTGTACTTTACCATCTGTTTACGTTCTGTTAAGAACGAAGCAAACCATGAGTACAGTGGGTTGTGTATTCCGAAGGACTTTAGTTTGACGAGTAGCCTTTTGTGTGGGACCTTATCAAAGGCTTTCTTAAAGTCAAGGAATAGGACTGATACAAGGAGTCCGCTGTCTCGTTTCAGAGTTATATCATTCAGGTAGTCTACTAGGCATGTATCGCATGATCTGGACCTAAGAAATCCATGCTGGGAGGTCGAGATGAGATTATTAGTTGGTAGATGTTGGACTACAGCCGCCTTAACTACTTTTTCCATCACTCTGGATACCACTGAAGTTATGTTTATAGGCCGGTAATTTTCAACGTTTGCTTCAGGTCCTGTTTTAATTTTGGGAATGATATGTGCAGTTTTCCAGGCAGTAGGGTAACACGCTGAAGAGAGTGATATCGCGAATAGTTTGAGAAGCAAAACACACATATCATCACCTCCACGTTTTAGCATGCTAGATGGAATTCCATCTGGTCCATCAGTGTAGGAGTGTTTCAATGTACTGATTGCCTTGGAGATATTTTGTACACTGAATTCTACATTTGTAATTTCACAGGGAGTTACTGGGATTGGTTCTGAAACATTAAGTGGTTTTTCGTTAGTTAGTGAGAAACAAAAATGTTCACTAAATAATTCTGTGATAAGTTTGGGATCTTCGTATACTTGTTTGCCTTTAATGAATATACTCCCTCTCGATTTAGAGCGTTTAAGTTTATTTTGGAGTAGTATGGTGAGTGCAGAGGAGTTATTATTAAGTTTAACTGCACGTTTTTCCTGTGCTACTGCTTTTTGTTTACTTATTGTCCCTGTTCGGACAAGTATTTCTGTCATCGTTATTAAAGAGGAAAAGTCATTTAAGTTGTGGAATCGAGTACAATGTCTTTGAAGACGTCTTCTTGTACTGACCGGTATATAGAGATCTTTGGAGAATGTAGGTTTACAGTATTCTAAAGGTGCGATGTTGTTGATGATACTTTTGATGTTGTGATGAAATATATTGATTAATGTGTCGGTATTGTTTGAGGTAAAGAAAGTTCTCCAATCAGTGCTTCTTAGAAGGATAAGGAGATATAAAATGAATATCTAATATGTCGGGGAACTAATAATGATATTAATAACGGAAATAATGATAAACACGAACATAATCAGATTTCATATATTAAGATAAATAAAAATAAAATAGATGTGGAAAGATTTAAAGGTTTTATTTTGCTTTTCAAGCAATTAAATGGATGACGGACCTTGTTTGTATAAATCATTATTGAATACATTGATATTCAATAGGTGACATAATCCACTTTCGGAAAGAAAATCGTCAAGGAGACTTTTGAACCGGGTTGTAGTTTCACTGCAACGGAGGTTCACTGGCAGTCTGTTCCACATGGTTGAGTAGCGAATAAGGAAAAAATTCTGACGTAAGTTTGTGTGGGTTCTTGGAATCGCTAGAATATTCTCCTTATTGCGTAGATTGTGGGATGATATCATAAGGTATGAAGGGGTGGATACCGAAGAGTAGGAAATACCGTTAATAAGCCGGTAGATAAAGACAAGATTTAATTTGATACGTCTGATCCAAAGAGGCTCTAAGTTGAGTTGTTGACATCTTTGGTAATAGTCTTTGTTATCGGAATACCCAGAACAGCTTTGGTGAACTTTCTTTGAACACCTTCAATTCTAATCAGATCAGTATGTCTACAATTACTGTAAACTAAAATACCATATTCAAGAATGGGTAAGATACATTTTCTGTATAGTAACAATCTCGATTCGATATTATTGAAGTTTATCATTATCAATCCGATGAGCTTTCTAGCTTTGGATACTTGAGATATAATGTGTTCAGAAAAGTTCAGACTGTTGCTATATCTTAAACCCAGGTCACGAACAGTGTTAAGAGGTTTGAGTGTATGTGTCTGTACAGTCAGATTTAAGTTAAGACAGCGACCAATGTGAATAAATCCACTTTTGTCAACATTAAGTGGCATATTCCACGAAATAGTCCATTCGTACAACTTGTTTATTTCCTCTTGGATTACCGCTGAAATATAGCTTTCTTTCGTGGGAGAAGAGAACGAATAAACTACTTTCAGGTCATCAGCAAAAAGAAAAGGCTTACCATACTGAAAGAGGGAACACACATCATTGATAAAAAGGAGAAAGAGTAATGGACCAACCACACTTCCTTGTATAACCCCACTGGTTACATTCACAGGTTTAGAGTAGCAAGATCCAAAGCGAACGATTTGGCTACGTTCTTCTAAAAAAGATTTGAGCCAAGATAAAAGGGGATTCTGTATGCCAAATGAAGAGAGTTTTAAAAGAAGAAGTTTGTGTGAGACACTGTCGAAAGCCTTACTAAAATCGAAGTAAAGAATTATCACTGACTGACCAACATCTCTTTTCTGGGTAATTTGATCAAAAAACTCCAGGTGCGATGTGAAACATGAGCGTTTAGTCATAAACCCGTGTTGGGATGGGCTGATCAGACTAGCCGAAAGTAAAAATGATAGTAGCTGTTTGTGGATGATTTTTTCCATGGTTCTTGAGAGCACGGATGTCAAATTAATTGGCCTATAGTTAATAATATCACTACGTGGTCCTGTTTTGAATCTAGGGGTGATAAGGGATGTTTTCCATACAGATGGATAGGTCCCATATTCCATAGATAGATTGAAAAGTTTCAAACAAAATAGTGGAAATTCTCTACTTCCATATTTCACAAATGATGAAGGTATCCCGTCAGGTCCACCATCATAAGACTTTTTCAGGGCAGCTATGGCCTGCTTGATGTTGGAGGGTGTAAAATCAATTTTCGACAGATGTCTGGATGTCAGCATTGGAAATGTAATGATGGAGTTTTCAGTTCCAGTTTTGTAGCACTGCGAGAAGTGCTTGCTGAATTGTTCACATATAGTATTCGGGTCGTTAACAATGCTTCCGTTAACTATGAAGAATTTAGTCGTGCCAAGGGAATTTGACTTTACACGGGATTTAAAAAGCCGAAGTATTGATAATTCTGGGCTTTTACTACGTAGAGCTTTATTTTCTATATTCATAAAATACTTACGTTTAGATGAAGCATTTCTGTTGATTAATTTAAGTATACTCTGAAGTGCATACACATCATTCTGCTCGTAGTAGCGGCATTTTAATTTCCTCAGCTTTCTTTTAAAAGTATTTTGGCCCCTATTAGCATTATAAGCCACACGGCCAATAACTGGAGCAGTGCAGTCAAGACAATATATCAGGTTGTGGTATAGATTGGAAAGCGCAATGTCAACATTATTTGTGGTAAAATAAGTTTCCCATGGTAAACATTGAATGAGAGTTCCAGTCCGTTTCCATGTTTGTTGATCAAAATGTCTGCTTTGGTACATCAATGAAGCTTTAGAGTTCAATTGTATGGCGTTTAAAGAGTGAATAATACTCAATACAACTCTATGGTCACTCATAAAAAACTCATGACTGGTATGTACTGAGATAGAGTCTATGTTGATTGTGAACATTAAATCAAGTGTATTATTCCCCCTGGTTGGTTTTCGGACCTGTTGAACCCATCCACAAATTTCTAATGTTTCAACTAGCTTGTTATATCGACCTGGTACCGGAGTCAAGCCCCATTTAATTTTTGGCAGGTTAAAATCGCCTCCGATGATTTTAAAAGTATGCGGTTGGTGCGAAGCAATGGAAAATATGTTTGTTAGTAATTTGTCAAACTTAGTATCCGCATGAGGTGGTCTATATATGCATCCCACAAGTAAATAATTTTGGGATCCACAGTTTACAGTAACCCAAGTGGAGTCGTCTATAGCATCAAGGGATTTATCCTCAAATTTGCACGCTTGAATGTCTGAACGGACATAGATAATTGTACCGCCTCCTATTCCATAACATCTATCGGTTCTAAAGAAAACGTAGTTATCTACATTCAAGGAATGATCGGATATAGATGAATTACACCACGTTTCCGTAATAAGTACAATGGTTGGATTAACAAGGAATAAAAGAGTTTTAAGATGAATAATTTTATTAGACAGAGAGCGGGCATTGAACGAAAGAATAAGAAACTCAGAGTCATCATAGTGAAGCAGGTTAGAGTATAAATCGCAATTGGTAGTTCCATGAATACTCATAGGATTAGCTAAGGTAAGAGTCGTGTTGCGAGGGGAAATAGATTCAACCACTTTGTCATCATGTGAAATATGTTTACCGTTGCCGGCAGGAAAGCCGGCGGAATTACAAAAAAATTCTTTTCATTGCTATTGGATATAACATCTGATAAGGGCATACTGTACATATTGGGAGCCGGACCAAGAAGGCTATCAGGTCTATGGTTGTGACCAAGTGGCCAATTACAATTCAGATAACTATTTATACCTGACGTATGGGTAACGTGTTTAAGACGTTTATTTCCAAGGTTTGTGGTTGATTTCGGCTTCTTCATAAGTTGGAGAGGATTGTGTACTGTTAAACATACTTGCGATGGTTTGCGAGGTTCGAATATATCAACGTTAAGTGCGTGGTCAGTTATATGAATGTTATGATTAGTTTTCCTGTTATCCGTTGCACAGTTACTGTAACTGGGTGTTGCACTAACAGGGGTTTGGATTGTGTTATCCCATTCTTCATCAGCACAACTACTTCGGGTTGAATCTAAGTCAACATTCTTAAGAGGATGGACACCACCTACATCGGGATTACTTTCTTCTGGGTTTTGAACTTTATGAGATTCAGAAGAGTTTTTTGGTGGCGGCAAAGTTGTTAAGCTAGACGTCCTCTTAGAATCGGACTTAACGTTACAACCATTAGGATTATGATGCGTTTGAGAGTTTGAAGCTGATGGTCTGTAGTTATCTCTTCCTGCTTTTCGCTGGCATGGTGTTTTATCCGGAAGAGTCTTAATATCCTTGAAAATCTGTTTTTGTCTCAATGAATTGGAGGAATTTAAAAATTCACTGGCGTCTACAGATGAGTTGAATTTGAACAAGATCGGTGAGTGCATACCAGGATGACTTCTTTTTAATCTTGTGCATACACATGGTACGTGTGTCATATTGCTGGCTCTAAGCAGACTAGATTTGATATTTTTAAGGGCATGTGTATCCGGTATATTAAACACAATTGCATTGCTAGATCGTCTTATTCTTTCAAATACCTCTGATGCAACACGATCTAGGAAAATATTTATGTCATTCATTTGATCTGGAGTCTCTGTGAGGTTGGGGTTGATGAGATATTTAAGCGGATTGAGAATGTTCATGTCTACTTGCAACTTTTTTATAGCATCCATATAGTTGCAGTTGCGATTATCATCACTGTTTACCATCAGAGTTTTCAACATGTCTGGAATGGAGACAACTGGTAAAAGCTTGTCTGCTTCCGGATGAACGGAGTGGCACGTCTCGTTGAAACTGTTGGAAATCGTATCAGTAGAGGTGTTAAATTGTGTCGTTTTCCTACGTTTGGCTGAACGCCTAGGAGCAGGGGTCTTCATTTTCTTTTGTGACATGATAAAGTGACGTATAGCAAGTGGTTTGAACAGAATGTTGGAAATAGGGGTGAAAAAATCAATTCCGAGGGCTCAAGTTAGTCTAAAAATCAAAATCTATGTTTTAACCAAGAGTGAATGTATCGTGAGGATTAGTGGTGTTAAAAACAAAAGATGACAATGGCAGGAAGATAGTAGTGGAGATGAAGTATTTATGTCAGTATCTGTGTGGAGGCAAAATAGAATATAAAGGAGCAAGTTGTATAAATTTTAACATATATGACACGAAAGATAGCCTTATATAGTAAAGTAATTTAGAAATGTCGATAATTAGTATCAAACAATCAAAAAAGTACGGTATGTGATACATATATAAACTGAAAGTCCGTATTAGTAAAAATTGGGAGGTGCAGAGATAAGTAGTTTAGAAGATTATTACCGTCTAAAGTTATTATGTTGCTTCTTGAACAAATATATGAAACAGCTTTTTGGAAAAAAACACTGTCAAAAAAACAAACTATGACAGACTCACCGAATTGGACAGGTAATTTCGGAAATGAAATAATTTATAGTATCCAAATACGATTTAAATGATAGTTCATAAAATAGTGAATACAGTCCTTTAACATACACGGTTATATATATTTCTTGATATTAGGTAGAGGTTTGAATAGATCCTGTAGATACATAAAGTACGTGGGTTAAAGCATTCAAATACGATATAATCATATATTCCTTAAGAAATAGAATACAGATATGAAATGCAAATCTTCGTCAAATATGATTATATACGGTTTCAAAGTCACAGAGTATAGTTTGATCGTATAGTCAAAATGAATATATGTAATTATATGATTATGAATTATTGTATGAATATGATCATAAATACTGTAAGTTGAACTCAGAACTTATCATATGGCATGAAATTCACAGTTTATATGTTAATAGTTAAGAATAGAGTTATCTTCCATAATTCCAAGAAAAAATAATTCATCCAGCTATGCGAGAATCCTAGAAAAGTAAAACTAAAAACCTCGGCCTGAAAGTAACGTCCAGTCCGTAGCGCGCGGGTCACTCAGACATATGTTTCCAATATTATGCTGGATTAGCTATTCTACTAAGACAACCTATAACATGTTAACTCGGACTTTTACACTAGGATTGTGTGGCTGGCATCGGATAGACACAAAAAAGGAAAAAAAAGTTAAATAACAAAAGATATAGTCATTAGTATTCTTAACACTTCACCCTCCACATACACACCCTTCTAATAAACCGCTTCCCTTGTACCAACCTTGACTTCCCTTCCTTCATGTGAGCTTACTCCAACTTCTTAAACATCACAACTCATTGTTCTTTATTAGTACATTCTCTAATATGGAGCCTCTGACTTCATTTCGCTCTAACAAGACATAATATGAATTTATTCTAATTTATTATACCTCTGTCCGTTCTACTACACAATGTTAAGCAACGTTTGGCTTTCATATCCAAGTGCCTTGCTGCTCTTCTGTTTCTCTTGTTTTCTTCTTCAGAATCTTGCTCTGAGAGCACAACTATGAAACTTTTGACGTTTGGAACAAACTTGACGTACGCGTCCTCTCAAGGTCATAGTTTACAGCAAGCGCTCTACGATTTCACTTTATAACAACTATAAACTTAATACTATGGGAAACATTTTGTGAACCAACAAGTGTTGTAATTTGTAGATCATGCCTGTAAAAACGGTGTGTACCTGCACATGCAGGAATATATTATTATTATTATTATTGAAACTTGTGTATTATTGCACTTTTGAAGAAACTCGAAATGGTTTCTTCACAACACTTATGTACCCATAAGATGTTTGTGAATAATAATAATAATAGCAATAATAATGAAGTAGACCACAATTCTACAGGTCCAACAATCCACTAATTTTATTACTGAAGTCTGAAGGCCACATCACAACAATCACTTGCATTGATTTGAGCACTAGATCTTTGAAATATGGGCCATGACATTGGTTAGTCTTTACAGGGACCAATTAACACATATTATTTTTAACTCTTGATCAGTGGATACAATTTTGTACGTTGTTAGGAGACAAGCTGAAAAACATATCCATCTCATGAATCTGTAGTGGCATTGGACAATAACCACACAATCCTCAAAGCTGAACATGAGACAACTCGGAAAATAGATATTCAATATTTAACGCTGAGAAATACCCAACGGTGGAGAAGGCGCGAACGAGGAATTGAATGAATGGGAGTTGATCGGATGGCACGGCTCGGCCATGCAGGCGTGGTCCCTCTGAATGTTATCTTGTATCTTCTATTCATATTAAATAAATTGTTCCTTCTCTAGCCTAACCTTGTTCTACATCATGTATTGGTAACTGATACGATGCAGTGAGTTGGTGTAGTCGATGATGTGACTTTCACGTAAGATCTTATAGATTAGGCAGTTATATCATAACAAATCTACAATTTTAGGATTAGGTCTATTATTAGAGCAGTACTAATATCATTGTAGACCATAGTTCCACAAATCTACTCTAGCAAAATTGACAGTTCAGTGATAAATCTAACTTCTAAAGTGTTTATAATGATATTTTTTAAATGACAAATTAGTTTGTTACATCTTTGTTCTCAAGATATTTACACCTTGTTGATTTCCCCCTAACTTGCTAGCATATTCTCCGAGGCTAAACACCTATTTAAAAACGGACTATTTGACATATCTAACTGTAAATTCTTTCGTATCTGATTATTCTGTGAGATCAATAAAGTAACTCGTTAGTTTTCGTCAAGTATTTGTTTTTTACTCTTATGAGGTAGATTCTCCTTTTTGTTTTAATTTATGATGGTTTAAAAGACAGGTGAGTGTACACCTAGTAGCTTGTTAGCAAACGTAAAACGCGTGCTTTCTTATTATGATGTTGAGTAGCCCGCTAATTGTACTTCCTCAGATATTCTTGCTTGTTTTTCTTCATTTCCTGATAAGCTCTGATTGCCATATAGAGGGGAGGTACAAAAATTCACTTGAGATAATTGTAGTGAGAATATGAGTGCTACCGTGACAGGAGATAACATATTGTAAAGGCATATAGCAGCTGTCAACCGTCTCTTAATACTTGACATTACATATTATGGAATTCAAAACATTTGTACCAAGTATCGAATTTATAGCGAAAAGATTATTCCGCTCTCCAGTTTCTCCTTTAGACGGCCTCGGAGACATATTATACTTTATTGCCGAAGGTCCAAGAATTACATTCGCTATAACCTTTGTAATCTTAGGATAAATATAGTAGGGACCACTGGACTTATCTCGCTTGAAATGTATTCATGGGAAAGCTCTCTTCTCAATAGCCATAGAAACCATCAACCAGCTGCACTTATCATTATTAATTGTTTTTCATATACTATCTTCAGTAGACAACTCTTAATCTCAATGCCCCAATGAAGCTCCAGCTTTTTCAACGTCATTTCTTCCTAATATCAAAGGTTTTTCTCATACTAACATCAATGGGATCTCATCACTTTTCTCAGTTGGTTTCTTTTAATACGAAAACAAACCTTTGGGGCTGTTTTGCGGTCTCTAACAAATGTTTTCACAAGGAGCCTAGTTTTACTAATCAATGCTTTGCAATCATCTTTAGCTGTACATTAAGTGGGTCTGAACTGTTCACGGCCTGTTAAGATAAACAAGATTTAAAGCTTTACTCAATGTAGGAGAAGTTTCATGCTCTCTCTAGTTGTCCATAGTGGGTAGTTGTTAGGCTTGTGTGGTGTTGAGCATGGTTTAAATAAAGATGTAAGGAAACGAACCGTATCTTTAAACACAGATCAGACTTCTTCAATTGAGTTGGTATTTCCTGACCAGTCCTGTATGGCTGCCACTTTTACCCTCCAGACATTTGGGCGCGGTCTGACCTGATCGAATACTATAAAAGAAGCCCTAAACGTAAATAACCTAACAGCATGATTGCTATTTGCTAACAGTGTGAGATTATTTAGGCAAAAAACTCAGTCACGTGGATGATTACTAGGTCTAACAAAGAAGAACTAAAATATCTGTGTTCAAATATAGGATGTACTAAAACATGCTCCGTCAAAGTCGTTTGACGCCTACTACTGAAAGATTTTGGACTTCTCTGTGCAACTAATGTCAGGTTCGTTAATATTTAGCACATCTTACATTTGTTCTGTTAGTCTCCAGAGCGATTAACACAACCTCTTCACCTTCTATTCTCAAAAAATTCAGCTTTTGTAGCATTGTTTTTTCCTTGTATATTTAAGGCGCAAAGCTCGTTTTTCTAGGTCGCGATACGGTTGTTCCCAAAATGAAGTTCTTCGCTACGAAAGCTCCAAATGAGGAAGTCTCACTGACCAATAGGGTGTTTTTTAACCCGAAGGATTTTAATGAAAAGCTTGGGTACGTTTTATATAATAATCTCATACATTTTCTCTAGTTGCGTAGCCATACACACTGCGGCTGATAAATATGTATTTCGTGCGGGTTCACACGATCATGTCCCTCAAGGAAAGGTTGCGTTTGGTTTGGCTCAGGTTAGCTTTCTTTTTTTCACACCGATCTTGACAGTTACCTTTCAGGTTTATAGGTCGTTAAACTTGTGTAAAATACTAGGTAGTAGTTCACCGTACTGATGACTTTTAGGAATTCATCATTCAGTTAAGAAAGTAAGATAGTGGTTGAATGTAGTCACTTTGGAACTCTGGACTTAGGTTTTGTATTATCTGGTACTTGTCAGCAACTTGCATCTGTTGTCTCTAGGATATGAATGCTTTTTTGCTAATTCGGTTCGTATGTAAAAACGCCACCACTGAGCTATTCGGACAGTGACTAAACCCCTGAAAAACTTAGATGTACTCTTAATTGATCACTAAGTTTCAACCAACGTCATTCACATATATCCCTTTATCTTTGAACTAAGTCTATCAACGTTAAATTACAAATCATTTTGAGTCACTTAATTTAATGGCAAGTCGCAATTTAGTTGGTAGTATTCGATCAGGATTACAATTCTTTTATAAGAGGAACTTGACAAACATGAGTGGTTGCTACTCAGCGACCAGTCAATTGTAAATCAGGAATGTTTAGTTCCAAAACAATTGACAATAAAAAACAAAAAACCACAGTCAAATAGTAGATCTAGCATGACGAACTTTTATGTTGAGACATTCATTAGAGTAAAGGAAGAAGGGTAAGTCTGCTCATTAGTAGTCAGGGTAGTGTTGGGTATCTATAGGGGATTCGCCGCCAATTAACATCAGCTTTAATGAAGAAAGGTCAGTTATTAGTAATCCAGCTCGAGTTATGGGTTGGTATCACGAATTAGGACTAAGGCTGACAGCACTAACTGACACCAGTTATTATTCAATGATGCTTTCTTATTTGTGAACTTAAGGAAGTTAATGTTGAGGTTTAGTTGAGTATTTACGTGAGAAAGTACTATATAACTACATAAACACGTGGATATATATTGAATCACATCAAATATTCGAACATACAATCTGCGTCAGAGGGAGTTTCTTATAATTTAGCTTCATCACTGGCTGGATAATAAGTATTCTTTTTACCACTTTCAAACATTTTTAGTGGCCCTAAATCTGACTCCAGGTTGATTGTTCTTGATTGTTGTCGAATGATTGCTGTCAAAATATGCATCCTGGCTATCCTCGTACATAATCATTGACTTAAATCGCGTTAGCGCATAACGGAATTAAATAAGTCAAATGCAAGAATGGATTTCGAATACGTGTATTCCGTACAACCGTTGATCGGAAAGCGGAGTGAGCCAATTCGATTTAATCAAGCGTTAATCGATATCTATGGTCATAAAAACAAGTTACAGACGTGATGAGTAAGATAGGAAATGCACACACATACGCTTATATAAAAACAATTAAGGTTGATAAGCGAATAGTTAACAAGGTTGAAATGTAACTTAAGGAGAATGGAGAAATTGGCCTGTCCAGAAGTCAGAATAAGCTGTGTTCGCTTAACGCAGCAACAGACACTACAATTTCGGTAACCAAATTTTCTCAATTTTTCCATTAGATCCTGGTGATATACTATCTTCCACTTTTCCTCAAATTCCACACAAATAAGTTCATGAGCTTCTGTCTTAATTCTGATTGGTTCACTGACGGTCGTCAATGTAGCATGTTTTAGTATACATTGTCACCTTAATTGCCGTTACTAAGCACAGTATCCATATGCGGTTTGTTCATTTCTCTAAAGCGTTGCTAGCTTTTTCACGGTATTTCTTTGGCCTTACTCCAGTCGCTTAATAAGCTCTGTAGAATCATGGCATCTTGTTTTTACAGCCTGCATAAGTTCCGCAGTTTTTAACGGTAGTAGATATTAGTTCCTTCAAGTACTCTACGTCGGTGGCTTTTGGTCAATAAAATGATCTCAGCAAACGGAACTTCAGTGTACACGTGATAACATGTGTTCAGACTTCTATACTTTGTGGTTTCAGAAAGGACTGGAGGCTGTAAGAACCATGACAGTTTGGTGATGGACTCTACTGGTTGATCAGATCTTTTGACTGGGTTTATAAGGGCTGTTGAGGGAAAACGTTTCATTGGAAAAGATGGTGGTCTGCTGACAAGTACTTGTTCCTGACCTTATTCACGTCTTTGAAATGTTGTAAATTATACGCGAAGCTTTGATTGGAATAATTGAAGTCCAGCTTTTAAATGTATATAACTTTTGGAGCATGAAGTCATTTTTAGTTTAGGAATAAGGAATGAGCATAGAGGTTCAGAAAAGGAAGACACACATCTAACAACCAAGGAATTACTTACGCCTGTTTCCCCTCGTGGAGGAGCACAGGTCGCACACCAGCGTTCTCCATCGGACTCTATCTCGGGCAGTCCTTTTCAGTTGTTCTTTCTTTTCACGTCTGCTTCCAATTCTCGACGCCATGTGTTGTTTGGCCTACCTCTTTTCCGTTTCCTTTCAAGATTCCAAGGTAGCACTCGCTTTGTGATGCAGTTCGGTGATTTCCTCAGTGTATGTCCTATCCACGTCAAACGTCTTTTCATAACTTTCTCTTCATCTGGAGGCTGATTTGTTTTCTTCCACGATAAGCTGTTGCTGATAGTATCCATAACAGTCAAGGAGGATGCATCAAATAAGTTTTACTGAAATCACGAACCCATGTACGTTAGTCAACTATTTAAGATCTGGGAGCACCGAACAACTTTTACGTCCTATTCAAATCCTTGTTCTTACTTTTTTCAAATTAAATCCACATCATTGTTTCGATTAGTTCCTGAGTTTCATGTCTCGATTAGCATCAAGAGAATAAGTTTTGGACATTGCATTGGTGTAATTAATGATTTGTCCATACGAAAGTGCGCTCAAGTATTTTTGATAATTAAGTTCTCATGATTTCTTAATAAAGGTTTGAGATAGGTTATGATGTTACTTGTTTTATTCATAAATGATTGGTAAGCAAAATTTACTAAGCTTAGTACTGGAGGTTGCCTCTCTCTTTGCACCGTGCTGTTAGTGTTGTATACTGGAGGTAGCAGGTGGATCTAGAATTTATGCATAGTTCTTTTTTTGTAATAAATGAAAGTAGTTCGTCGTATATCATTTGTTAACTGTAATAAGTATTTAAACTATGACTCCTGTGCGTTCATACTAAGGATAATCATTTGATAAGTAACGGAATCTTGAAACGCTTGGAATAGTAGTTAACCAATATTTATCCGAGGCTCCTGTCTGGTAATATATTCCAACAGCGGGATTGCATGAGAAAAGCGGAGAAGTGGCTAGTTTATGAAATAGTTAAGTAAACTGATGAATAATTTTGTTGGCTTAGTACCTGGTGATGTTAAAATTCCCCTAGATAAGGTTTGATTAATCATGAAACCAGGTGTTTTGAGTTGTTACTGTACGTGGCTCGGAATTTAAACTCGTGGTTATCATAGCATATTTTTCTCTGTTCTTCATCAATAGCGGTGTGCTGTTTAACGAATCCTTCAATATTATTGTGTTACTGTCATTACATAGTTACTCTTGCTGCACATTTAGTTTTGTGTAAAGCACTTAATATCCTGTCGCTCCAAACTTCCTGTAAATAAAAATGTTCGAAAGTTCTCTCCCTCATCTTTAAGTTGTCTGTGTATAATTCACTATGAATCTACAAAATGCATTAAGTACTTTATTTTTGAGTAATAATGAGTCAGTAATCATATTTTTTTTATTATTTTATCACCATTCCTCCGGCCTCGAGATATATGATCATTTCCTTCTTCCCACATGTGTTCCTAGTAAATCTGACCACCAAAATATCTATCGAATTCCATAAGTATTAATCTTATTACATTTTAATATGTTAAATCCCGTGTAGCTGTGTCGGTTGTTTACAACTAAGAAGCAACGTAGTTTTTCATAAAAATTTTGCAAACATTTATGACAATTATCTGGTATTGCCAGTGATCCTGCAGAAACAAAACCTTCCAAATGAAATATTTGACAGTTTAAACAAATATTCCTGTGTTATTGAAGACTACATTGTCCCATCTCATTCATTCCCATCTATCTTAAAACTAATCGCTTTTACTCCTCATTCATGGTTAGTTATTCACAGGGACCTTTCAGTTCACGACTAGTTTCCTGAAGCTGTAAAAAAGTAGTGAAATGGCTTTTAGTTTCTTGGTTTAAGAAAATTAAAATACTTTCATAATTAATCATAAAAAACCCAGTCTGTTGTCTTAAAAACTAATCACTACACCGTAAAACTTTCAAACCCGAAATTCCTTGATTCTAATTGGCCACTTAATTAACGATATATTTGTCTAAGAATCGAGGTGGATTCTAATGCTCTTATCGATGAAGTTTCGTATAAGCTCGTGACAGCTCATATATAATTTGTTTGGAACAGTAGTTGGTTTAGTGAGATTTAAAACAACAACCCTTCATAAACGGTTTATTGAACATTATGTGTTTGATCAGATTAAAATCCTATCCCAGCTGAGCTTAGTGAAGTTTGTTTATGCACACGTGTAACAATGGTATTTTGTTTTGCAATTACTTGGTATAAGAGCGTTATTTTACTACGCTTTGATGCCGGTGATTTAACCGAGTAAACAGTTATTTGGAAACCTTGGATGTACATTTCATATTAGCTGAGACTCCAACAAAGTAATGCTGCATCACAAATTTTAATCTGTTCCACCAAATTTTAAACTTCAGACGTTATCATCAAAGTTATTCGGTCTGAAATAACTTTCATTCGTACTTATTTAGCTACTTTATTCCATTACTTACTGGTAACGTTTGCTATTTTATGTTGCCCACAATTCTGATCGTCTTCTGTTGATTACGTTTGCCACTCAACTAGGTTATCGAGCGTTGAAATCCATTTCATTTGACGTTGAGCAATTAGAGATAGTTTTGTAAGGTCGTCATTTTGTGTTTTTCCGGTAACAATCGACTAGATCAATCTTTAATTTATCTTGAGGAGATAAATATGTCAGTGCTTGCGTTGCAAACTTGGTTTATTGGATTCGTTTGGCAATTAGGTTTAAAATGCACTAGTCGCGTGTATAGAGGCAAAGTATAACCGAAAAATTACAAATTTACTTATTGGTTCTGGATAAATTTGCATTTTATTGCAGAATTTTTTGGTATTATGTTTTATTGTAAAAATAAAACAAGTAATTTAAACTTTATTTATTTAGTATTCAAAATTTCTAATTAAGTGAACGGATTTTAACGTAGTACCTCTTGTAGTCATGTTAGCTCAATTCACTGCCATAGTAATAGAGATAAGGGGTTGAACTTGACTCGTTTATGGGATGTTTTTGGTATAAAGGATGTATTATTTTTGCGGTAATGTCGGTCCCGTTATACGTTTATATCAGTTTTTTACTTAAACTTGACATGGTCTTATGAACTCTAAAGTGACAGTACGTATACTTTTGATATGCTCATTGTGATTGTTTTACAAATTTATTAAATTTTAGAGTAACACTTTTAAGCGATTCTAGTATCTCAATAACACTCAGAAACACTCATGTTTTTGTCAGTCTTCTAAGGTGTTCTATATGTTTAGTAATCAAAAATTAGCTGATGTGTATCGAATAAAATAGCGCAATAAATTAAGTGTTCAGTAAACATGGTAATAAGTGACACTGAGACTGTGATCTGTTGGTTGCAACGCATGACTTTCAACCAGATTAGAAACTCTCATCATCTACTTAAGTTTGCATAATTGGGTAGTATTATTAGACCCTATGCAAAAATTGTGTGGCTGAAAGTCGACTGTATAAACTTTGACTTGGTTACATTGTGTCATTACACTAAAATAAATTAATAAACCATAAAAAGGACAGGAAAATTGGATGTAACATTATGTGAATAAAAAGGTGCGTTATAAAATTAACTCTAACTACAGGCTTTTACACATTACAAGCATTAGGCGTGGTACTGTAATAATACTTGTTTTATTCAGTAGTGACTTTTATCATAAGTTGATGCCAACTGAATAACCTTTGAAAAAATAGGGAGTTTTAGTCAATTGTGTGAGGTTTATTAACAGAGCCTTCAGGTCTCATATACCAGTGAGTCGGAATTCAGTGGTTCATATTCACAATAGCACTCTGCTCGCGATATAAAACGACCATCATCTGATATTTTAAAGTGGGATTGTCTCACTTTCGATATTGTTCAAATTCATTAGATCTTGTTTTATTCAGTTTGAGATCATTGTTTACTTGGAATATAATTTATTTCATTAAAAGTTATCTCACCTTGTACTTTACTATTTCTCTCTATTATCTAGAGTACCTGTGATATAACATAGACATATAAGAATGACATGTCTGTCCCTAATCCTATTCTTCCGTCCTTTATTGAGGAAATAGTTATCTACAAAAATCAATACATAATTTTTCCTCTCCTCCTTTACGTGTACTCTCAAAGTCTTTGTAAATATTCAGAATTATAAATCATCCTATCTCTATTTATTTCTGTGATTCTGATTACTTTATCAAGTAGGATATATATTCACTTGTCAGCATTTCTAAAATAAATCGAATATCAATTTAGGAAATTAGCTGTACGCTTATATATGAACCAGGCAATGTCTTAAAGGAGTTTATGCATCAAGTTTTATATTCCAAAAAAAACTCAGTAATTTATTATTTATTTATTTTAACACATAGATGTTGGTACAAGGAGACACCAAATACATATGCACCACACAAATCTCATTTGATATGTGTGAGGGTTGTGATACTGCTCGGGTGCCCAGACCGAACCAGGTGGTTTTCTTGGGGGGCCACACCCAGAGCCTTTGACCTGAAGGTCTGATCCACAAGGCAGTGGAGCAACATTAGGAGATGCAGTCCCATGGTAGCCGGTGACCAACGATTGGTTCATACGCCATTTGTTCCCTCAGCATACTGGGGCCGATGTGCACCATTAGTTTGAAATCAGGGTTCTCCAACTTCCATAGGTAGACTCTCGATGTCCACCAACCCGATTGAAGCGCCGGACATTCGCTTTTCGTCCTCTCAATTTACTAGGAAACACCCCTGCCTCGATGAAGTGAGTAGGACTTCCCTGGCAGAGGTTATATATGCGTGGCCATGTAAGAGCATTTAGTGAAGAGCGGACTCTACTCACTAAGCCGTACCAGGGCATTTGGGAGCTCTATTTTATATATGTTTATTATAGTGATTATAAATTGCTATCATACGCTAAGATAAGAAGCTGGTGGTATGTTATTTGTATTCCAACCGATTTAATCAACTGAAGTTCCACATTCTCATCAACTGGTTTGATACCTTCAGTTAAAGATTTTTCTGTTTTTAATATAAACACTTTCTGTGGCCCATGAACTAACTTCCACTTGGAAGAACAAATGAATACAAATCTTCTTTTGAACTCCGTATATTACACCTAAGCTAAATCCGTTTGTGCGATAGCAGCAATAATAAGATAAACATGGATTAAGTTTGATGAATTTATTTCAGGCACTCGTTAACTTAGACATTAAGAATGAAAGTGGGGAAATAAAGCAGAAAATTGGCATGTGTGCCAACTTAATTTGATCAAGCGTGACTCAATATTTGTAGTCAGATAAAAAATAAGCCAAAGGCATTTGATGATTGTGTTGAGCGATACGCACACGCTTGTATAAAACAGTCAAGGTTAGTGAGCGAACGATGGACAAGAGTAAATAAATTTGTCTGTCCGTAATCTAGAATAACCCATATAGACTTGGTGCAGTACTAGACACTACACTCCTTCATAAGCGAGCAATGTTTATAACACATCTATAATCAACTACATGCAATCTGCACATACTTTCCCATGTTAGTGATCTTGTTCTGTAGCCATGACAGAACAGTAGTGGGTAGAATACTCTATTTATTTGTCAGTTGGCTATTTCAGTCTGTATTAATAATATACTTACATCGACTTGTACAACTACATAGGGGAATTTTGTTATTCTTAAGGCTCTTGAATAAATAATTAACCTGACCATTTAATGGCATTCGTTATCTTTTTTTTTCTATTAGCGTAGATAGATATATTTCTTGCATAATTTATTTTCTTTTAAAATGGTACATCATCTAGTTTCCTGTATGAAATTAACCATGTACATAGCTGATGTGTATATTAAATTTTTTTTAAACACAAATTTATGAGAACCAATGCTCATAAAAGTATTAACTATTTGTAATTAGTAGTGAAATATATTTTTGAAGTTTAGACTTTATGCCTATATCATTACATAATTGAACTACAACTGATAACTTGTAATTTGTTTTGTAAAACTATTTGATCGTATATTCTGTATAAGTAATTTTATTATTATTATTATTCTCAAATTATTCACAGCGTAAATGGGGCAATATTTCAGTAGATGAACCGTTAGATGTTCAACCATACACATTTAATTTGGCTCGTGAATGTCTAGGTTCTGCAGTTTTGGCTGTGGATTTTAATAATAAAAAAATGTAAGTGTTAGTTGAATAGGGTTTTTATTTAAAAAGAAACGTATACTGTTAAAATCCTGGTGTAAATGTTTGGATTTGTCAACTTTATTGTTTATACATAGAAATGTAATACATGAAATTAAACGTTACCTTCTCTGTGAGTTTTAGACTATGTGTAACTTCCAGCTTTCCATCTAGTCTGAAGGTACCTTATGTACTGAGATAATGTGAAAATTAGCGTGTCAAAGAATCTGAAAGGGAAAAAGTAATCTGAAAACTTAATAAATACATGAAATTCACTTGCATTTTCTACAGCCAGTAATAGCGCAGGCGTAAGATCCAGACATCCCAATAATTGAAGCTAGTTGTTAGCGTAAGTTTTCAAATGCGTAACAAGTTTTTGGGCACTCACTCATTGAGAGCCTTCAGTACAATTGGGTGTCCTTAATATTTTGGTAACTAAAAATTCCCTATAGAATATTTAAAAATAAAATTACAACAAAGAATTGTTTTCAATAAATTCGTCAGGTTCTACAGTTATAAACCCACAATTATTGCATTATATCGGACTAAATATAAAGGTATGGATATAAACTTTCTGGTTGAATTAATCAATGTTATCAATAGGAAATAGTGGGTTTCACAACAGGTAGGTCTTAAATATTAACGGTTTGCATCATGGGTGCAGTTATTAAGGGTCATACCAGAAGGGGTAGAAAAAATTATTTTCATTTGTTGGGGATGTTAGATCCCCAGAACTCACTTGGTAAATGCCTTAATTTTATAATTTTATTTTGGAAATTTGAAATTCCTTGTTTTCGTGCCAAAAGTGCACTTTTCGCCTTCATGTCGTATTTCCCACTTGGGTGAATCTTTAACGCTATTGGTCCGTTGTGTATTTTTAGTATGCTATTTTTGCAACGCTTCCCAAGGACAGTTTTATGCTGTATATATACGTTTGATTTGTGTCTGTTATTATTCACTCATGCTTCTGGCTTACGGAATACACTTTCCCGTTCCAAGCTTGGACTTCTTCCTCTACTTAGCGGGGCTGGGACGCATCAAATAGCTAGCTTATTGGTCTACAGGCACAAGTCTTTGTTTCGTTCGCATACTAAGTGAACTCGTAATAGCTTCAAATCTAGCAGCCCTCGTTTGATGAGTCCCGAGCAATAGTTCAGTATTGTAACATATTTGCCAAGTATATGCGTTTATATACTTCTATTTTAACTTAAGGAGGAGGAATGTATTTGTAAAATCTCAGCGAATGAATTTGAAGTAAATCTAACGTTTCGCCTGGCAATCTGGTGCAAGCATTTTCAAGGAAATATAATCAAACATCAAAATTATTGAATATAATAAGTACATTGTTCTCTGGTTAACTGTATACTAAACAATGTACTTATTTATATTCAATAATTTTGATGTTTGATTATATTTCCTTGAAAACGCTTGCATCAGATTGCCAGGCGAAACGTTAGATTTACTTCAAATTCATTCGCTGAGATTTTACAAATACATTCTTCCTCCTTAATGTCTCACATCAACTCGGCGTCCAAATACTGTGAAACTGTTCTATCAGATTTAGACGATTGGTTAGACTTTCAAAACTTATCAATTCACTCGATACATAAAGGATACACACTATAATTTACAAGGTACTGCGTTTCTGTACGTTTTCTTGGACATACATCGCGTAACTCCCGTTCAACAAATTCTTAGTTCTTGCTCACTTTGGTTTAGGTAACTGAGTAGTATCATTATCGATCTAACGTATCATGAAGTTTTATATAACTTGCTTCATACAAATTATTTTTGTCTGTTCACATGCATTTACAAATGGAGGAAAGTTGGCTAATGGTGTTTAGTTCGTTGTCTCAGTATTGTATGCATTATTCGTGATGTAATAGTCACCTCTCTCTCTCTCCATTTTTTTGACATTTCAACAATTTCCATTTTAAATCTCCTAGGTCGATCAATGAGCCGTTAGATTCAGATCGAATGGCTTTAGAATTCAGCATGCAATTTACAGATACACCATTGACCGTCGGTCAGCATATCCTTTATCGGTTTAACAAAATGACATTCCTTGTTGAGGTTAAGAAATTGTCAGGTAAGTATTAACACACACAACTCCTGTAATGTTTGTTTTGAAGTAAAGTTTTTATGATCGATTTCTTAGATTTTGTAATATGTGAATACTACCTTGTAACTGATTATTTCATACAAGCTGGAGTAGTTCTAACCTCTAATATGAGCGTCCGTATTTTTTATTTCATTGTATGTGCATTGAATAACGATAGAAAATGTCAACCAACTAGCGCTTATCATTAGGATAAACAGAATAACATAAAATCTCATACAATAGCTGAGTAGGTTGATACAATTTGTTCTGTAGTAAAATGACAAAAAAATCTGAGTAAGAGAAATAATGAAATTAACTAAAAGAGCATTAAAAGTTCATTAATTAATCACTAGAGAGGTAATCAATTTCCTATTTTCTAACTGCTTTATTAGTGATGATTGGTTTATCAATGATCAATTTACATAATGCACTAAATTCAGGTTAAGTGGTTAAATGTTTTGTGTAGTTTACTTCTTGTTATTTAATTGGAAATAGTCGGTGGTAGAAAACCATGCTTGAACTAAATTTCGTCGTAATTAGGGCTCGTTAGCTAGGTGTACTTTGAATTTCAGAAGAACCGGTAGTCTTTGTGGAATGTGGACCCGTATTACTCAGCTTTACAGTCTGAGACACGTAACCACTGAGCTATTCGAGACATTATCATCCCATGTAGGGTTGAAATATTTACACTGATTGATCACGATTTTCTTCACTGACTGTGATCAGTTGAAAGATAATCAGAAACATATCATAGAAACGAATTAAATCTATCGCTAATTGTTTTGTCTTTTTGTTCAGTCTATGAAAATTGTCTGAATATCAGACTAATTGTTATGAAGTGATAATTTCTTTATATAACTCGTATTTGAATTATGTTTATAATAAATATTATTGTTTTATTTTGAAGCTTTGTCAATGGATGGTGGTGTTGACAATACTAAAGTAAGTCTACTAACACACTGTTTTTTGTGTAGTATTGTAATGGAACTTCTTTTTTTAGAAATAATTTTAGAGTGTAACACTTATTGAGGTAGTGACTAAATTTCGTTAACCACTTTTAAGATTACTCGAACAAGTCAACTTCATAAATTACTTATTGTTAAATATATGGATGAAATTTACTTCATAGTCTAAAAATGGTTTGTTCCCAAGCGAGGAACGTACCTCATTTATCTCAGAAGCCTTATTAGCTCTGGTTCGTTGGTGTTTAAGGAGATCTCGGTAAAGAATTTAGGAGGATGGATTGGCCTTCACCTTCTTGAGTCATTTGTAGTGTAGACAAGATGTTCGTCTTCCAACTAAAGGGCGAGTATACTGCTCAGCACTCCGCGCTATGGCTGTGAAACTTGGTCTATAAATGTAGAAGACACGTGGGCTATACTTAACAAGTGTTATATTAACTCCTTGCTTCTCAGCTGAGTTATTAAGCTCATACACTATTTTTACAGTATATTTTATCAGGTAATGCGGCAACTGGAAAACTGTTAATTCTTTCTGTGTAACATTAAAATCTGCTTGACAGAAGGTTCATTCACTTTCTAAGGTTTATTAAACGTGTAATTCATATGGGGTATTCTAATGTTTCTTATGATCTGTCTTTATCAACATTTTTTGAACGGATTAATCATACTATTTTCCACATTATTCTTACTACTACCCTCAACAGATTGGCATGTTAACTGGGAATACAGTAATTCGTTGGATGCCTCAATCAGATTCTAAATTATTATTAATCGGTAAAGCTGCATTGGATGACGATGGAGCTAGTTCTATTGGAGGGGGTGGTGGCTATCATAGTATCATCAATCCAAATTGGGATTTTAATCAAATGGGTATTGGTGGATTGGATAAAGAATTTTCAGCTATATTCCGACGAACATTTGCATCACGAATGTTTCCTCCGGCAGTTGCAAAACAATTAGGTTTGTATAATTGTTTATTGATTTCTGGAATTGTTATGCTAACTAATGGTGAAATATTTTCTTTCTCATATAGTACACATGACCTTAGTAACATATGCGCTTTAAAATGATGAATTTGTTGATCATAAGTTGATTATAGTTTTGAATATCAGTATCACTGAAGTAAGAGACATTGATTTACAAACTAAAATGCTCTTTATACTTCCTTTGGCCTTTTATTTGAAGTGTTCAAGTTTATTGTTTGGAAAAATAAGATAAGTAAATACCTTTGAATTCCAATCGTGTTTTCGAATTTTTTAACGCTTATACTGATGCCCCCAAATGCCCTGGTATGGCCGAGAGCGGGGTGGTTTCGCCCTCCCTCTCGAAATGCTCTCACATGGCCGCGCGTATACAGCCTCTGCCAGGGAAGTCCTACTCACTGCCTTCTCGTGGCGGGGGTATTGTTTACGAAAATGAGAGGACGAAAAGCGAATGTCCGGCGCTTTAACCGGATTTCAAACCAATGGTGCACATGGGCACCAGTATCCTGAAGGAACAAATGGCGTACGAACCAATCGTTGGTCACCGGCTACCATGGGAATGCATCTCCTTACGATGCTCCACTGCCTTGTGGATCAGACCTTTAGGTCAAAGGCTCGGAATGTGGCCCTCTAAGAAAACCACCTGCTTCGGTCTGGGTACCCAGGCAGTATCGCAGCCCACACGCAATTAATGGACTGAAATTGTGTGGCGCATATATATTTGGCGCACTCCTGTACCAATATATATGTGTTCAAATAAAATAAAATAAATATACTGATGTATCCTTGAAACTAACTTCATGGTGGTTAACTCCGATTGCAACCCCCGAACACCCTGATATGATTGGGTGTGGGGGAGTCCGGCTTACTTTTTAAAATATTCTCATATGACCACGCTCACATAGCCGCTGCCAGAGAAGTCCTACTCTCCAACTTCTGACGACAGAGTCGTTAACGAAATTGAGAGGACGAAAGGCAAATGTCCAGCGCTTAGACTTGATTGGTGGGTGCGAAGGATCCACCTAGGGGAGTTGGAAACCTCTGATTCAAAACTAATGGTGCATATGGTCCCCAGCTTCCTGAAGGAACAAATGGTATGAAAACTTTGGTCATCGGTTACCATGAGAATGTATCGCTTACCGCTACCTTGGACTAGATCTTCAGGTCAGCGGCTCGGGGATCGGCTCCCTAAGAAAAATACCTGCTTCAGGTTTGGCACCAACCTTCACACAAATGTTTTGTGGCGCATATATGTTTTGGTGCCCATCTGTACAACTGTTTGTGTTCAAATAAATACTAACTTTATGAAATGTTATGATAGGCCGCGCAGAATTAAACAACAGAGGTAGATGGTGATTAGCAATGGAATCCTTGATGCGCCTTTCGTCTTACTTGGGATTCGTCAGCTGGATGTTCCCGTATCCCCGAGTTGATGTTCACTTAGGGACTCCGACCCAATACCGTTCGCTTCAAACGCTATCGCCTTATCTACCTGACTACTTAGTCCTGATAACCACTTTCTTGTGCAGTGAGGTGAAGCAGGTACATCCAGCTGACGAGTCGCGAATGAAACGAAACGCGCGTCCGGGATTCCACTGCTGGCTACCACCTATCTGTACTTATTATGCTTGCGACTTAAGGCAATATCGAGTCAATCTCCACAGGATGCACATATGCCAATAAGAGACTGATCAACTGCAGTCCTAGATTCAAACAAACAATACAAAGATGAATTTTGTAGAATTAATTTTGTTCATTTTATTATCGAGTGTTGCGAAAACAAATCATTGTTGCTGTATCAGGCAATGATTGAAGCATTCAACTAATTCTATTTCACAGGGTTTCGTTTGGGCAGTTAGGTAACATCACCTACCCTTTAAACACAAGACGCGTTCTTCAAAGTCGTTATTGAGTCATAATCAATGTAGGATCTCATAAGATTGTACATTAGTCCAAGATGGCATGCCATAACAGCATGAAGAGTTATTTAGAGAATGAATCAAACTAATTATAGTAACAATAATAGTGAAAAAGATTAAACAATAAGGATATAGTTTAAGAAGATGAAATAAAAAGGTATACTTGAAGTAATATTATAAATAATGAACTAAAGAAAAATTAAGTGTTAATACATCTACTTCACTGTGACCGATACTGATCTCTATCACTCAGTTTCTTCAACTATTGATAACCGTTATCGTACTGGCTGCATACACCAATATGGTTTTGGACCAACAATCATTGACTTTACAATTTATTTATTTATTTCAACACATAAATATTGGTACAAGAGGGCACCAAATATATATGCGCCACACCATATTTGTGTGTGCGTGGGCTGTGATACTGCCTGGGTACCCAGACCGAAGCAGGTGGTTTTCTTAGAGGGCCACATTCCGAGCCTTTGACCTAAAGGTCTGATCCACAAGGCAGTGGAGCATCGTAAGGAGATGCATTCCCATGGTAGCCGGTGACCAACGATTGGTTCGTACGCCATTTGTTCCTTCAGGATACTGGTGCCCATGTGCACCATTGGTTTGAAATCCGGTTAAAGCGCCGGACATTCGCTTTTCGTCCTCTCATTTTCGTAAACAATACCCCCGCCACGAGAAGGCAGTGAGTAGGACTTCCCTGGCAGAGGCTGTATACGCGCGGCCATGTGAGAGCATTTCGAGAGGGAGGGCGAAACCACCCCACTCTCGGCCATACCAGGGTATTTGAGGGCCACTTTACAATTAGATGTTATGTCTTGGTTTGACCACTTAATTTTCTTTTCGCTCCTTTCTAAAACTGGTACAAAAGTCAGACTTTGACTACAAATATACTTTAAATGTTTTTCATTGCAATCTATATCTAATTAATATTGTTTACAGTTCACTGATTTTCTCCAGGTTACTGATTACTTTATGCTTTACTAACTAGTACTTTATTAAATTTGAATCTACTTTCATTTACTAACAATATCTTATAATTATACATCAAAATAGGTTCATTAGAAAAGGAAAATAAATGATAATCATTTCATAAACAAAGAATCTTTTTTTGGTACTAGAATGATTTGAATGATGTTTTTTGTGTAGTTTCAAAGTAATTGTATGACCAGTAGTGACTAATTTTTATTTATTCAAAGTTTCAGTTCAGTAAATCATGTTCCATTAAGTAAAACGATACTAAGATAATTATAATTTTTAACATTAAGTTATAGTTGTATTGTACTGTAATTGTAAACTGGCTGAGTCAAAAAGTTACGATTCAAGCATTAAATTTAAAAATCATTGTTTTTGGTTATAACATTTGACTGTATGACTGTAGGGACTTCATACTAGAATTTAACTACGTAATCAGTGATGAGTATCGTTTGGTCAAAATTTAACTGTATCTGATCAGCTATTCCTGTAAAATAGATTTATGAAGGCATGATACTTCTTCATGTACTATCTATCTATTTCCCCTGGTCCTACAACTGTACATTTATTCGTTATTGTTCTCGCTTGCATCAAGTTATATATACTGTGCTGGGATTTTCTTAAGTAGTAATTATCTTCTACTCTGGGAAAATCTATTTGCACATAAGTCATTGAGAACTATTCAAGTTCTCTTGTTTTAATTCATTCTTAGGTAATATCTGTCTGTCCGCAAAAGAACTTTTTTTACACCTTCATGTAAAAAGGTATTTCTCTTGTCCTGATATCTGACGGTCATAGTTTTGACCCTTCTAATAGTGTGTGTGTGTTATCTACAGAGAAAAGCCGAATTAAGACAAAGTGATCATCTCGTTGTTCATCTGAACGAACGAACTTCAGACAAAGATGTTTCATTGAAGCAGAAAAGTATAATTAGGTGGATACGCAAAATGACATTTATAAAAATGTATAATTAGTACAGAATCATAAAAAAGGACCGGTTTACTGAAAACAAGTTTTTCAAGATAATGGTTTTTCTACAGATCTGAAATGTTATGCTTATTGGCTATTGGCTATATGCGCCTAGCATAAATGTTAAATAGTGAATATACCTATACTCAATGTCTCACTACCTAGCGTCGGATACTCAAGAAAAGAAATCGACAGTCAGTTTTTTCTTCAAAGTTCATTCGATTGAAAATTAACAATCGATTTCGTAAACAAAATGATCGATTCAGTCATTTCAGATCATTCTAATAAATTTATCAAATCGATTGTTTGATCATCAAAGTTTTCTTGTTTATTTTGAACCTGTAAGATACATTTGCCGTTTATTTTATTTTCTTAAAAAAAGGACTTCAGTGATTTTAAATATCTTTCTTGTTCAGGTTTAAAACATGTCCGTGGTATTCTGCTATACGGTCCACCTGGTACTGGTAAAACACTAATGGCACGACAAATTGGTAAAATGCTTAATGCACGTGAACCTAAAATTGTCAATGGTCCAAGTATATTAGATAAATATGTCGGTGAATCTGAAGCGAATATCCGTAAATTATTCGCTGATGCTGAAGAAGAAGAAAAACGCATGGGTGCAAAATCTGCATTGCATATTATTATATTTGATGAAATTGATGCCATTTGTAAATCACGTGGATCTACAGTAAGCAGTTGTCATTATTCTATTTTTGCTTTATAGTACAATAAAGCACTGTTAAATTTTTTACTTGTGTTATCATCATTTATGAGACATAATAGTGATTGGGAACTTGTTTAACAAAATGCAGATTCGTGGACAGTACGGTTCAAAACGCCTTTTTATTCATGAGCGCTAGTTACATTTACAACTGATTTGTCACTGAGTAGTGACCAATGTCATGTATGTCACGTCCTTCTTAGTGCTGATCAGGTTGCAGTGTGGCCACTAGTCTAAGTGCATTATGTTAAGTTGTAAGGTGGTGGTTCGTTGGCGGTTGTCGACAAGAAACCTTGAACCTAGGTTTCATGTCATTATGTGGCACTTGTTGGGAAGGTATACTTGTAATCTTGAAGGACGCAATGTTTCCTGAAGAATTCAACCTCATGTCACTCAGCTTCACATTCAGATACATTACCACTGAAGTATTCGACCCGCGACTGTTTTTTGAACTGTGATTTAGAGAGTAGTTTAAATGAGCTGTTTAAATTCTGGTATTTCTACTACTTAGCTATCTTGCTGTATGTGATGCGATGATAAATACTTCTTAACTCAATTGTCCATTTTCCATAGTATTATTCATTTCACGATGTTAAACTAAAACACTACACTTTTTGGTGTATATGATCTTCCTTGTCCACTCTTTGAAAATAAAAACTAGAAAGACGAATATATTTGAGTTCATGCATTCAACATTTGATCGATGAAAAAGAATATTTGTAGCACCTGGATAAACAGAAAAGTTTCTCCATTTTAGATGAACAACAAGTTATTGGCTATTGAGAAAACATTTATAAAATATAAATTTTTTTTGAATAATTACAGTGTCAATGTAAGGCGCAATTGATGCTGGGATGTTCTTACTGTGACATCATTAATAGTAAGCTATTACTTTTATATGACTTATGTCTAAGAACGTCGCAAGGTACCATATTATTTGTTGTTTGAAATGCCACACAAAACGTTATGATAAAGTGACACACGTTAGTTGAACTCAACTATCCTTCGTACCACTGAGCAATCTTATATAATTACCACCTATTCCCCTTTTTAACCTTATTCTAGTGTCGGTGAGTAACCAACGATATATATGTATATATATATCATACTTTTCCACTGTGATTGTAACGATTTATTAATTAAACTAATCATAGCAGTTAATTTTTGAAAATAATCAACTTTGAGAATACATCCGTATTGTAATTTCTAGTTTCACAGGGAGATTAGAAAACACTTGATAGCCATCACATCAAGACACAATATTACTTTATAAAATTATTTACTGTTTGTAATCTGTTATTGGAGATTTTACTTGATAACTTAATATCAGTGGTTGGGATGTAAATAAATTCATCTAATTTTTTCTACATTTTTAATTTGCTATTATCCTTTTATTCACTATTTTCTAACTACTTTTTACAGTCGATTCTTCATTATCGTCTCTTTTTAAAAAAATTTAATGACTTATTCGCTTTTTTATTCGTGAAAATTGTACGTAGATGTGCTATAATGATATATGGGTACTGGAACTATAATACCCATTTATTAAGTTGTAATTTTGTTTCTAGCTGGCTTTGGATCCTCACTGGCATTGAATTGCAATAGGTGAAATCTTAAGCAATACTCTTGTCCTACATTGTCTCGCAGTTTGTAAACAACTGTATGAAATATTAGGTCGGTCTTGAATGGTACAATTGTAACTTCAATCCATTTGTGATGTAGCTCGACAATCATCCAATGCGATCAGTGACGAATACTATCAATCTGTACAGAACACCTTCAAATAAACTACGGGTTATTTATTACTCTCCGTAAGATTTTTAGTGTTCAATCAAGCATCTTATGGTGGTTGCTTGTTAAATGAATATATATATGTGATATTTTTTCCTCTCGTTCAGGGTGGAGGTGCTGGTGTACATGACACTGTAGTCAACCAACTACTAACTAACATGGATGGAGTGAATCAGTTAAATAATATACTTGTCATTGGAATGACTAATCGACGAGATATGATTGATGAAGCACTTTTAAGACCTGGACGTTTTGAAGTATGTTTTTTTCGAAAATTGTGAACATTGTCGTTTTTACTACTTCTTATAAGTAGAAGAAATGTTTGATCAATAGAGCTACACTGTCGTTTTTATATGTTTCATGTTTTTTTAATTGTTATGGCAACTCAGAGGATTTGATGTGACCATATTGTTAATTCGCTTGAATCTTAAACACCGGTTTTTGAAAATGGGACCATTAACCAACTAGCTAAAATATGTGGATATCTCCTAAGGATCATCAAAGCTACACAAAAGGTTAAATGATGCTTTAGGATTGCAGAATCTACAGATTGAAGCTGTAATAATAGTACATGTTATACTCACCAACTATTGACTCAATAACTATATAATTCATAATAGTTTCTCTAATTATAAAGAAGGACGATTAGTTAGAGTACTTCATATGCTGCTAATTTCTACTGTGCTCAACAGAGGTGAAGTGCTGAGAACTTCACAAGTTTATTGAATGAAAATATACTTGCGTACATGTTGTAACGGAACATAACCTAAAAATATGTTTATTGGCTTTATGTAATCGGTTTAGGACAAGCATTTTCCCGTTAAGTCTTCTCGTTAATGAGACTTCGTAACTCATTACATATGAAATCTACTGTTTCCCCGAAAGGTACGTTCGTGAATCAAGATGATGCATCAGTTACGAATTTACTATTCATTTCCAAATTTCTGATTCTATCGACAAATCCAAAGTTATCTTTTGCACTGTGCTTTAAGACCTCTTCACACAGTGGTTTTAGAAGTTCTGCTATCCATTCTGGAGTCACGTAGTAAGGTGGATTAATCTTGTCTAGGATTGAGTGAAAAGATAAACTAGTTTTATTTACTATGGGGGGCATAGAGTCTAGGTGTCGCAGTACCAGTGCATTTGAGTATCACGTATAAGTCTTAAAACATTAAAATTGTTGGTTTCAAGTTTCAATATTATCTTTAATCTTAGAAAAGATTGATTGATTTGTCAGCATAAATTAGCCATAAATTACACCTTCCATTTTTATAAAGGTCTTAATAAATTCTATTTGAAGAAGGCATGAATATGTAAGATCAAAACTAGTCATTTATACCGTCAGCATCTTTTGCTTTCAGTTGTTCAGACGTATCTGTAGTTTAAAAGTACATATCGAAATCAAGTCAATTGAATATTATCAGTATATAGGGTTGTGGAGATTGTTAGGTTTTGATTGAGATCGTGACTGCTGAGGAGTCCCATACTATGGCAAAACGGCCGTCCAGTGCTTTCAAGTTTTCAATGGTGGTCTAACATTAATTCATTCATGATCCAAATCAAAACTAAATATCGTTTGTAATATTTTTCCAAATTATTTCTTAATATAAGATTCAATGAAAATTTCATTGTCTTTCTTTTGGAAATAGATTTATCACAAAAAATCTTTCGGTATAATAGAAAAAATTCATATAGAGAAAAACATGTTGATACACATTCTTAGTTTTTTGATGAAACTGTACAAAAAGGCTTACTGTTTAAGTAGATAGTATAACTGTGTCCATTTAAAAGGTGATAATTTCTTATACATGAATTAACATACACTCAAAATGATTACTTACTTACTTACACCTGTTACCCGTTGTAGAGGAGCATATACCGCTCACCAGGTTGCTCCATTGAACTCTACTCATAATGATACAATTCAGTAAATAAAGCTTTCAATTTTAAAACACATTTTTATGTAAATGAACGTCAATGATACCCGTTGGTTACTAAAAACTGAAGTGATTGAAACAACGTTTGAATTTGTGACTGTGTTCTTCAACCATTGAGCAGCTAAGCCACTGGGGTTTATTATTTTTGTGAATTATATACATCTTTGTACAAAATAAATGTGATTGTTTTTTTTAAACATCAAAACTAATGTAACGATAACTTATCGTTTTATTTAAAACCTGTATTTTTTGTTAGAAAAAATATTCTCAATCTACAAATTCGTTATAATCCTTAATATTTAATTGAAATGTAATCTAATAAGTTCAACCGTGTTGGGTGTGAGGCAGTTACCCTCCGAAGGCAATAAAAGACAGTCGAACAATATCGTAGATTGATTAAAGTTGAAAATTAACACCGTTAGATCTCCGCTCAGTGGTCTAGAAGTTAAGGGTTTGAGTGTGAGACCGAAGGTCCTAGTTTGGAATCCAGCGTTCGAGGTCGTGCATGCGCACTGTTGAGTAGTCCCATATTGGGATGGAACGTCTGTTTAGTGTTTCCAAGTTTTCAATGGTGGTCTAACGTTTATCGGTTTATGATTGCAATAATATTTAAATTTCATCATCTATATCGTTATTTTGATTCACCATCGAGAACATAAAAAATATATACTTGATCATTGAGTTACTTTTATTATAAGGAAGTTGATCACTTTATTTACTTTGTACTATTCACCTTTAACATTATTTTAAGATGCAAATGGAAATCTCTTTACCAGATGAAGATGGTCGACTTCAAATCTTAAATATACATACATCGAAAATGCAACAGGCCGGTAAATTGGCACGTGATGTTGATTTAAAAGAATTAGCGGCTAAAACAAAAAATTTCAGTGGTGCTGAAATTGAAGGCTTATGCCGTGCTGCAGCATTCACCTCAATGTATCAATTAATAAGTGTAAGTTTATTATTAGTTTTCCAATATCAAGTAGTTCAGTATATTATGTATTATTTATTTTTAACGAAATAATAGAAGAGATTCGCAGACTAAGTGATGGTTGCTTTCAGTTGCATTTTGTTATCCGAGCGAAATAGTATATAATGACGAAGCTTTCTTTTAGTTCTGGACAGGATCATCAGCGCTAATTTCATGTAGAAGTGTTTTTTAGATATACCACAGGATCTAAGTTAGACTGTCCGAATGACCTGTGAATGTGTTAGAGGAGTCCAAAAATATCTCTCGTCAAAGTCACTAAAGGCTCAGAGATGCCAGGAAATGTTTTCCAGTCAGCGCTGAATTGTATCTTCGCAGAAACGTCTAGACAATGCAATATCACGTGCCACCGTTTTGATTGAATATTTGCCTATATTGCTACTATAACTAACTAGTATGGCTCCGGAGATTTCTAGAAGCTCGTGGTCTTGTGTACGTCTGTAAATACCGATGGTTTTCTGTACATAAACTAACCTTGGAGAAAAGTTTTCGCTCGCAATGTTTACCATCTCTTATTTCTCAGTTGACATATAGTGGCTGCAGATATGACGACCACTTAGGAAGGCCGTTTAAGCGTGTTTAGAGTAAGAATGATCAGAATCGCTGCCGTCGCCGGTTTTCATTATTCTTGTTGACCATTTTGTTCGATCAACCTCTGGGCGCCTAATTGACTGATCTTTTCCCTATTGATTAGTAAATAGTGTCTATATCGATACACTTAATTATTGCGGACTGATCTAAATGCTATGCTTCTAGAGATTTTTTAATGTTCTCTGAACTGCTTTGATCTAGGATTTCAAAGCTTTTGTCTGTATTATTAGCAAATCGATCGACTGACCCTGCCACTGTATTTGCCATACCATCGACAGGTCATTTAAAACTCTGGTATTCTTAAACCTGTAAGTGAATTATAGCTCACTTTATTGTATATATAGAATAAAACAGTTCCACGACGCTCTACAAATGATAAATTTCTGTAGATTCTATTTTAGATAATGAAAAAAGATATTGCTGTATGTAATACAACGAGTATATGTGTGCATAGATTAAATATTTGGGTTGAATAGTAACAAAAATACATGAAACATGAGATTTAAGTACCCAAATAAAGTTTTCTTTCTTAGGTCAACATTTTTGAAAGTTTCATTACCAACCTAAACATACTAATCGACAATGTTTTATGATATCATTATTAATAAGCATTGAGATTTCCGTGAAACACACACATCATAGCCTCATGACCATGGCTTCATGAAATTCGGTCAAACTAGAATCCGGTTGTCCTTGATCGTCTTGAATGATTTCATAATTTATCTACCTATTGTTTTATATCATTTACATGTTTAGTAATTCCATTCCTTTCGAGTATAGTTGTTTCGTAACACTTTCAATGATTTTGATTATTGTTTCTGAATTATACCTCTTATTAATAAACCTTAACCAATAATAGATATATCGTAAGGGGATAATTGAATAGAGATAATTCTCTTTGATAGATCTGTCTATATATTGAATTTCATAGCTTTATTCTTGTAAACTGTCAAATTTGCGAATGTGACTTAACAGTAGTTTGTAGTTTAACACACAATATCATCGTAGTTTGGTTGTATTTGGTGAGTCTACTGTGATGTTTAACACAATGATATCTACTTTTGTTTCGTTTTTATTTCTCCTTTTTTGTAGCCATCCGGGAAAACTCAATTGGATCCTGATGCATTTGACCGATTGTTAGTAAAACGTTCTGATTTTCTATACGCATTGGAACATGATGTTAAACCGGTGAGTATGTATACTCTTTTCAGTATAAATTTGTCTTGGTTTCTCAACTGAAATCATGATGAAAATATTCAGCTCAAGTAAAATGCCTTTGACAGGGTTGTAATTTCTGAGATAGATTGTTTGATCGTAGAACTGTCATTATTATCCAGGACAACTTCCTCAACGTCTACTTCATGTAGAAGTGAACTTTTCACTTATTCCACAAGTGTTATATCGTTCTGACGACTTTGTGATTCTTTTTTCAATCAGGTGTACAGTTTCTACACCTTTCAAAGTTGGTAATCAATTTTACCTACTTTGATGCATGTTGTCCGGTGTTTTTACGTTTATATTATCTAACTCTTACGTTTATTTTGTATGAATCTTTTGTGTTGTTATGACTAGTTTCCTACATGAAGTTTTTCGAAAAATGTTATTTCAGGCTTTTGGTGCTTCTGAAGAAGAACTCAGCTGTTATGCTCCTCGTGGTATTATGATGTGGGGCGAGTCTGTATCACATGCATTAGATATGGGTCGATTAGCTGTGTCTGCAGTAAAAGAACCAGATGTTGAAACGTACAGACCCTTAACTTTGTTATTAGAAGGTCCACCGAAAGCTGGTAAAACAGCGCTAGCTGTTGAGATTGCACGATTATCTGGATTCCCATTCGTCAAAATTGTTACGTCACATAAAATGATTGGATTCACTGAAATGGCTAAATGCGCTGCAATGAAAAAGGTAAGTAAACAGCCTTGGTAATAATTATTTATAATGCTTTTGTTTATCTGTTTATCAGAAGGTCGAATTTTGTATTTCAACTACATAGATCTTTCTTTGAGAGGGCGAACCTATCAGATACCATCTAAAAATTAAGCCTATTACACAATTAGGCGATGAGTGTGGAGATCACTGTTCTGCTTATTGTTATCATTTTAAGTCAAACGAAATAGATTGCTGAATATACCAGAAATTTTGATGAAGGTTTTTGTTTTGTCTGTGAAGTTCAATATTTCATTTGGAAACATTACTTTTAATTGATACAGTACGTCAGATATGCTGATATTGATCAATGCTTTCTGTGTATTTAACTCTCTATTCTTGAATTGGACTCAGAAATACTAATTCTGATATACCGTCATGCCAGGGAATTCGCAAACGAACTTGAGTAGAAATAATGACATTTAATTCCCTTGGTCAACTTCTCTGAATTTCGAGAATTCGCTGAATAATTCTATATAAAGCCCCTACACGATTAAATTCGAGTAGAGTTTCAAGTGTGTCATTGACATATTGTTCTACATTGACTTTCATCCTGTTATCAGTATTTAGTTTTCGTTTTATATATAGACAAACGCTTACTCAAAGTTGTCAAATAACTTCTAGTCGTTATAAATATGATCACTGAAAGCCATCAATGTTTATGTCTGTGTAGTTAGAACCTAGGGTAAGATTGTGATGTATCAGATAAGTATGAAGCCGAAGAGACATTTTGTAGATTGTCTGTTTGTTTTTTTTACCCACTCATCAACTCATTATCTTCCCTATTTAATCGTATAATAGGAAATTGGAATTTTTTTGTTAAATTCCTATTACAATTAATAGCTAATGGATCAAAGTGTACGTTTGCCGTTAGGTTGAGCTGATAGTTTACTGTAGCTGAGATTCCAGTCGATAGTAGTTAAACCCCCACGATTCTCAATTCCGATAATTATCATGCGCTCACTGGTGAGTAAGTTCGAGCGGAAATTTTCGAAGTTCTAATTAGAAGCCGTGACAACTGGATATCAACCGTCCCGGGTGTGAGGTTGTTACCTACCGAAGACAATGGAAGATAGTTGCACAGTATTGAAAATTAATTTGACACACATGTACATATTTAATCGTCTGAATTGCGACCTAAAGATTTGAACGTTAAGCTTTTGCCTCGAAAACTCGAATGCTTTGGGTTCGGTCACGGGTATTGGGGTTATGAATGCGCACTACTTGGTATTAAAATTCTAGGATGAAACAGCTGTCCAGTACTTTCCAGTTTAGAAAGGTTGTCTGACCTAGATCTGTTCATGATTCCAATCATATATTGCAAATCGCTTTGTTCTTATCATGCCATTCTCATTATTTCTTATAACTACTATTGATAACTATATCATTGTACTGTTGTCATTACTATTCGTCATGTTATCTGAAGTCTTTCGTATCATTAAATTGGGAAAATACCAATCGTTACTTTCATTATTCTGTTTTGTACATAAAGACATTATTTTACCAAACTTCTAGTTGCAGGAGAATTCAGCTTAAATACAATTACTTCTTAGATTAAATTATTGGGATAACAATTAACAAGTGTATCCTAATATTTGCTTACTTCATTATACTCTTTCTTTCCCACCTCACTACAAAATGTAGATTTTTGACGATGGTGCTAAATCACCGCTAAGTGTTGTGATTGTTGATAATATTGAAGGTTTAATTGAATACAACCCAGTTGGACCAAGATTTTCCAATTTCATTGTTCAAGCAATTCGTGATTTGGTTTCTCAACCATTGAAAGCGGTTAGTTATTTAAATAATTAGTTACTTTTACCTAGTTTTTTTTCTATATACCCATAATTACATTTAAGTAGTATCATTTTTAGTAGGTGGTGTTAGTCTTTTTAATTAACAGATCAATTGTTTGTTTTGTGTTTTATGTTTTACATATTTTTAATTTTATTCCCTTGAAAAGCGTGTTTGCATTGCTTTTTGTAGGGTCGTCATATGCTAGTATTGGCTACAACTAGTTGCCGTGAAGCGTTAACAGATCAAAATCTTACTCAAGCTTTTTCATGGCACGTCCATGTTGCTATGCTATCAAGACCTGAGCATGTAATTGCTGCGTTAGAAGAAGATGGACGTTTTACATCGAAAGAACAACAGATTATTGAAAAATCTTTATCGGGTCGTCGGTAAGTGCTACACTTTTTGTGTCATTTTGTTTTTGCGATATAGTCCTGTGCCTTATTCTTTTCTTTTTTGCTGATATCAAGATATATTTATATTTATGTAAACTCTATCACATCAGTTCTCAGACTAGGATATCTTCTACTCATGTAATTGTCTCGTGGATGCTATTGACACATTCTACCTGATTGTTAACTATTGTTTAGATTCCTGCGCACCTTTTAAAACGTACAGGTTTAGTAAACCTAACAAATCATTTATACCAGCTAAATATCGCAATAAATTGAGACGCCTACAGAAACGTTATTTTAAGTCAAACGATTTCATGGCAGTTGCACAAATGCCAATGATTTTGATTCAAATTAAAGAGAAGCACAGGTTAAAAATCATTAATGAGGAGCTGTTAGCACTTCTTACTAGCTCAAAAGTGCAAAACTTAATTTACCTTTTCAATAAATGCGTTGGAGCAACACAAACTGTTGATATACTATGCACCCTGCATAATGACACTTATATACGACTCAAACCATAGCAGTGGTTTTTGTTATTTTGCGAACGATAAAGAATTCTTAAATGACTTTGTTTCAAAAGTCATGTATGTGATAGGTAACTCAATAAAATCTCTCTCTATCACATGCCTAAAAATTAGTAAGGCTATAAATTCCCTTAAGGTTTCGAGCGGTCATGAACTAGACGCAATTTCATCCTTCCTCTACAAACATGGTGGTCCAGATATTCTACTTCTTCTTCTAAAGCTGTTTATTCTCTGAAAACAGGTACTTAAGCTTACTGTTGAAAAACCACATATATCATATCACGTTACAAATCTGGAGATGAGACTGACATGAACAATAATCGGCCCATAATAACAATATATATATTCTGACAATAATAATCACAGAATTCATGACAATTTACAGGCATGATCAGCTTGATATAAATAGTAACATTAAACGTAGAGAAGAAACATGTGTTGCAAGATTGTTTTAAGTTTACTAGTTCAAAAATTGTTCATTAAAATACATGATACAACTCATAAGACATGGAGACTTGAAGGTTTGTTTAAAGACCTGTTCTGTAAGGGACAAATCGTAGGAGTATTTAATCCCCAAGTCTACTACTGTATGTAACTTAGGTACCACCTTACTATTTATGGTAGGATCTAGTTTGAGTTGTGAACGAGAACACAATCGGAGGCAATCAAGTGTATTCGAATACAAAATTACAGAACGTCTTAGTAAAATCTGAGGACCGTACAGTAAATACTTCATTTACAAAATGTTAATCAATCGTCTCAGACTTCATTGTTCTTTCGTTTCCACACCAATCATTTTCTGTTCTCGTTCTCTTTTCTTCGATCTTCTTAACCTTCTGCCGTCAGACATTTCACTTTCGATTGATGATACATACTACTTATATCTATCGATATCAGTGGCTTAGTATTCATAATACCGGACTTTCCATCTGTAAGTCGCACGTTCCACCCTACTATATATAGTAAACGGTTCAGAAAGCTAGGTAATGTCAATAGTCTCCTGATATAAATGTAATGACTCAAAGACAAGTACATAAAGCCAGATGTATTTGCTAAATAAATTAAATGTTTGCCTTCGAAACGGCCGTCCAGTGCTTCCAGGTATTTCATGGTGGTCTAGCTTCAATTGACTCATGATCTCAACTAATGAAATTACTACAATCTCCACAAAACCCCTTCTGATGTTATTATTGCATTTATTATTTCAATCAGTCTATCGAATACTAACGACAAATATTTGTGCATTAAATTTAGGTAGTTTTTAGTTATTTTCTTTGTCAAACAAATTTGTTCTAGATCATCCTACATGTGAAATGTTCTTAGAAAAATAATTTGAATTTTTCTATGATTTTGGATTTTTGAAACGAGAGTGCGTTAATTCCTATGTTTGTGTCTCACTAATTAGTTGGGACTACATTCTATTTTACAAAAATAAGTAATATACACGTGTGTTAGAAACTTCTTAGATCACTGGAACTCTCTCCTTTGGTTTAAGTCTATAGGTTTTAATTGTTTTTTTTTCTAAGTAATGAGAAACTACATCAATGACCAGATCTCATCAGTTTGATGCTTTCTTCAACATTCTGGAGTAAATAAGCTGCTCTCCACAAAAATCCTTCAATTAAACTATGATATTTAACTCTAACCCAATGATTCTAAGTGTTAATTGCCCATAACAAGTTCTGAATGTCTTCAGTTCGTCCCCTTGTGGATCTGTGGATGATATCATAGCTTGAAATTTCTATTCTAGTATGAAATAATTGTCCAATGTTCCATGGTTTTCAATCGTGCTTCAATTAAAACCAATCGGTGAATAATACAACCTACAAATTAAACCGAACTCTACAAAAATCTTTTAATTAAAGTTGAAATTGTTCATCAGTATATTGACATAATTGCATTCAATTTATCGCCAGTTCAATTCTTCATGAATACCATATACCGTCGAAAATTAGGTTGATACAACCATGCAACACTTTTTTTGATTTTCAGGTTGATATCAGATCATAATTACTTTAAACTTGAACCTATATTTCTGAATATTCTGGGAATACGATTGCTTGTTATTCCTTGATATTTGAACTCACTTGTGTTTTGTTTTTTTTATTTCAGTTTATGTATTGGAATCAAGCATTTGCTTGATTTGATTGATCTCGTTTCGAAGGTAAATAATGATCTTGTGATTCATACTGTTCTATGTACAGTTATCTGATTTCACTGGCAAAATGTTATTCCTTGATATATTTGTAATTCACATTTTCCGCTTCACATATCCATATGATGAATTCAAATCTAGTTAGGCGGGATTATGATAAACCTTCAAAGCAATATAAACAGAGATGGACGGTGGCTAGCAGTTGACTCGAACTCAATACTGTTTTCTTTAAGCGCCATTGCGTTGTTCACTTAGCTACTGAGTTCAGATAGCCAATAATTGTTTTAATTCATAATCTGGTATCTGTTCATGTGAATTTTTATCAGGTTCCAAACTATGCGTTTTACTAAATCCAAACATCCATTATAAGAAATTGAAGTTAATAAGTTCCAGCTTTTCAGTGAAATATTCGAAATCAGTTATTCAGTCTGTGGACTTGTTCTTAAGTGACAGTTATTTTACTAGTATGGGGTTGTGGAGACTATTAAGTTTTAATTGAGATCTTGAACCAATTGATGTTAGACCATCACAATTGAAAACCTGGAAGCACTGGACGGCCGTTTCGTCCTATTGTGGGACTCCTCAGCAGTGCGCATCCACGATCCCGCGAGCGGGATTCGAACCCAGGGCCTTCGGTCTCGCGCGCGAACGCTTAACCAACTGGACCACTGAGCCGGCATCCAATGGTGATAGTTTCTAACATCAACCAATCCACGAAATTGCGCGACCCACTTCCATTGTCTTTAAGTAGATAACTGTCTCTACCCGACAAGGATTAGCTCCACTGGTCACGGCTTCTCACTAGAACTCCGAGAATTCCCTCACGAAGCTAGTCACTAGTGAGCACATGTTGATTACTAGTTTGGGGTTGTGGAGACTATTAAGTTTTAATTGAGATCTTGATCATAAAGTGGGAAGTGGGTCGCGCAATTTCGTGGATTGGTTGATGTTAGAAACTATCACCATTGGATGCCGGCTCAGTGGTCCAGTTGGTTAAGCGTTCGCGCGCGAGACCGAAGGCCCTGGGTTCGAATCCCGCTCGCGGGATCGTGGGTGCGCGCTGCTGAGGAGTCCCACAATAGGACGAAACGGCCGTCCAGTGATTCCAGGTTTTCAATTGTGATGGTCTAACATCAATTGGTTCAAGATCTCAATTAAAACATTTATTTTAGTCATTACTTTTTAAGAAACAAGTGTTCCTAGCTCAAATGAATCATCATCATATGCATACTCTAGTCATCATGCCAAGGGAGCAACTGACAGGTTTGTCATGACCTTGTAGTTGCTTTCTCTACGACGTACTTAACCTGAATAACCCAAATCATCACACATTACATTATCACTGTAAAAGATGAAATTAGCAAGCTATAGATAACAAATGAATTGGGATTATATTAGCGTTTGTGGTTCTGAAGAAATACTAAACAGAATGAATACTAGTTCAAAGGAAAAGAATCAATTCGTGAAATTAAAATTTCTAAACTAATAATAATGAATACTTTTGCGTTTCTGCGACTGATTCTGAGTTTTCAGTAAACCAATCATGATTATTATTCACTTGTTATTATGACTACTACTTTTTTTCATTTTTTGTCATATCTGTCAAACGGACAATTAGTTTTCATAATTCTGATTCATAAATTAATTTCATCCTTCTATTCTTCTCTAACCCCTTGATTATTGAGCAACCTCATTTGATATTGACAATCTTTTCTGTCCTTTTATAGATATATTTATTAACCATACGACTATAAATACAAATGTACAGCCTAAGTAAATGATTTTACCGAGATGAAAATTTTACTGACTATTTGTTACCTTCATTGACTAATACCAACCTATCAATCATGTTTGTCTAGACCTCCGGAAAAAGTTGCTATCCTCACGCGGTTTTTTATAGGTTTAATTGTACTTAGTTAGTGTGAAAAATATCTCAATGAAACTTTGTTTTTAAGAAAAGGTTTGAAGAAATAACTTGGTTTCATACGATGTATTATGTCACTAAAATATGAAGTTGTGTTATTGAAATACATTCATTGATAAATCTCCTATCTAACTCCATTTTATTGAGAGTAAAATGTGGTGAGTTTATAATATATAGACAACCTTTGAATGACGATGAAGTGAGCTTGAAAATATCCACCTTGTCAAAGTTAAAAGAGGACTTAAGATTAGAATTTAGAGTTAGTAGCTAAGGTTAAAGATTGAAGTTAGAGTTTTCATCACAAACTGACATAAGCTATATTGCCTAAATGCTATATAACTATATGGAGGAATGAATTTTCGTGCCAAAATTCAAAACGTACCATCTTTAATTTCATCGATTCGTCTACAAACTGTAGTCTCAATAAAAAAGAAAACAATTTAAAATTATCCATTAGATAGTAAAAATGATTCTTAACGATGAGATTTAACCATTAAGTAAAGAAATTACTTTTTCATCAATATGTACAACACTTTGAATTGTTTAATTGTTTTTCTTTCTTTTCTTCCTAGAATGATCCAGATCATCGTGTTGCTGCATTTCTTGCTAAATTAGAAGAAGTTGGCATTGTTGATGTATAAAAATGAATGAATAATATTTATTACAGTTTGTTACTATCTCTATATGTTTACAGATATTTATGATCAAAATGGTTGTGTTATGCCAAAACAAAAAGAGTCCTAATTCCATGATATATATGTATATTCTATTGATGAATTTATTTATTTATTTTAATCTATATAATCGTTCCGTGAATATTTATATTTTCCTCAAACTATGGTTGTTATATAATCAACTTGATTCTTTCAATTCCTTTTTCCTTATCTGTTTTTTTTTCTTCTGATAAATTTATTTTGTCATTATTTCACAGTTCATATTATACATGAAATTTACTTCGTTACTCTTATTCTCTTAGAGATATTGTGTAACCATCATTCATAATACCATTGTCTCTCACTATGCATATTACAATAAACGTTCATTTACTTCTCATTCATTCCCTTCAACATAAGCAAAATCACAATGAGCCAATATGGGACAAACATATCGTGATATAATAAAAACTTATTTATTTATTCATTCTCATTTAAATTTGTATCTTCATAGAATGAAAATATATCTGTTGAAGAGATAATTTATTTTTTGTAGGGAAAAGGAACTAGACATTTTCATTAGTATAGCATACTTTCAGAATGTTGAGGGAAGTGATACTGACCTTTTATAAATATGTTTATTATTAAAAGGGCAGTGATGTACGTGTATTTTTGAGGACATCAAGTTTCGGTTGTTGGCTCCACAACAACCTGGTACATTACTTTTCTCAAAGCTCCAACTGATTCCTTTGATGAAATTGTTTTTAGGAGTTATTTTCAGTGCTTTATGATGCTCATAATAGTAGATGCGTTGTCATAGCTTGAGCGCTAGATTTTGACTTAAGAGATCCATCTTAGCTTCTATATAACCACAATTTTGTGAAGGTTTTTAAATTACTTAGTAGTAGTATAATTTGTTTACTACAATTTGGTTTGATCTTACTAACTATTATAAAGTATAGCTTTCGATAGCAATTATGGATGAATAAAAAATACAGCTGAAGATTGAAGTTCGCCACAAAATATCTGTTTGCTCCAATTAGTTGTTGACCTGGTAGCTTGAGGAATTTCTCTTATGTCTTTTGTTTCTCCCAATCGCCGCGTGATGAAATGGTCAATAGAATACGACTTATATGAATTTACCCTTGAGCTAAACAAATGATACATTAGCCAGTACTAGTAGCTTTTTGTCAGTTCAGAGACTATATTGGTCCCCAAATTAGTAACTTTCCGTCTAGCCTTACCCGTTGAGTGCAGAACACAATCTTAGTCTCAACTGTATGAATTATATATTTCACATATACGTAGTTTATGCAAAAGCAGACCAGGCCGCATCATACCATAAAATGGAAAATAACAATTATACAGAATAAGGCCAAAACTGGCTGTGAATTTGAGAGGCTGTAAGCAATAGATTGGGAATAAATCAAGAATAGTAAATCATAACCAATCGGTCAGTTATATCGAATATATATATGACAAGTCTATAAATAGCTCCAGGATGTTACTCATAAACTAATCTTCGGATACAGAAGTTCGACTCCTTAATTTTGAGATGATCATCGTCAAGTATGTGGTTACCACTATTGCAGTAATGGATAAGTAAATCAAGATTAGTTTGAATCATGACTTATTGAATGAGATACTTGCCAGTGGTGTAGGTTGTTAGACCATTACGAATATGTTCACAAAGCTAACACATGGTACTACATGCTCTTTACGTACGATAATAGTTTTAGCATTACAGAAAAGCACTACATCTGAATAAATTTCGCACCTAATAAATAGTTCTGAATTATGAGTACTGTTCCATATTATATTCTATGTTGTACTTCGCATTCTTCTGTTGAAATTTTGTAGGCACATATATAGAGTGAACGTTATTTACCGCTTTATTTGTCGATAATTTCTGACCAGTGTTTTACGAAGCATGGAAAATTAAGCTATTTCTTGGTCACTCAAATGCAATTATTATTTGACGGATTTCTTATCTGATTGTGTGGTCATTTTCGCTTGAATTCATATCTGGCTTCTTGGATTCAGCTGAAGGTGTTGACACGTTGCATATCATTTATAAGTTGTGGATTAAACGGTATAATTATTTTAGTCTGTTTTAGATTCTTGAAAATCTTCATATTCTGAGTCAAGCACGTTAGTTTTTAGACCAAATGACTCTGAATGGCATTTTAAAATACGTCCAGCTTTTAATTCATTACAAATCTACTGACATCTAGTTCTGTTTGTAAAGTACTTTCGTAATAAACTAACTTCAGGCACAATACAATTAAAACAATTTTGCTACAACAATGCATATACGACCTTTGATGATCATCCTATCTTTCATCATGTTAAAGACCTTCAGATCACTGAGTTGAATTTCGCTTGTCCATATTTTGGATTTCAGTCAGTTCTCAACATAGCTGGATCTGTCATCAATATCATTCGTGAAGTAGTATCTCACTCTTCATGTAATTACCCTCTTATTGTCAACAAAGTGAGAATTGTCACTGAATTGTTTATAAAAAAACATGATCGTTTGGTCATTTACTGATCACTAACTATTAGGCAGTATTATCCTTCTCTCATTCACAGTACTTGATTAGATTCTATTGATTAATTTATCATTTGGTTACTAGTTTTATGCGTTATTTCTTGATTCAAGTTGTTAATGGTAATCGTTTGATGAGCAAACTTCACTACATTTAAAATCAGTGGAAAGTGATTTTCAAAGGGCATATCAAAATTCTGCATGAAATTATTCCGATTAAGATCTGTTTTCATTAGCAACTTTAAATGAGTCCATGTATCCGTGTATTTCTAAATTAAATTTAAGTCCTAACCCGTATGTTTATATTGTTCTGTACATCAGTTTAAACGTCAATGGACATTCACTAATTAGAATTCAAAGATGATATTTTTTCTACATCATTCATATGTTATCAAAGGATTAAATCTAGACCTATATTAAGTTATTCAAGATGGATATCTTAAACGTCTTAATAAATTGCAAGTTTTTAGACGATCATACAATCATGAGAATGTGAGTTTGTGAAGATCATAGATCTATTGAAGTTAGACAATAACACCGTTGAACGCCAATTCAGTAGTTTAGAGATCAAATGTTCACAAGAGAGACTGTAGATCCTGGGTTCATCTCCCACATTCGGGATCTTAGCTTTATACTGTTGAGGAGTCCCATACTAGAACGAAACGAATGTTTTCAATGATAACCTAGCTTAAATCAACAAAACTAAACAAGATATTTAAGCAAAATATACAATATTATCATATTGTGGTGTTTGAATGAACTGATGATTTCTTTGTACTTTTTGAATGCTTGATGTCTAATTCTAAATACAGTTCATTCGTTTGTGGTTATCTAGTATTTCTTGATTCGATTACGTTATTTCTGGGATTCTTATTTCATACTATAATTCAAATACTCCTAATTATCATATTGGCGTTGCGATGGAGTCTGTGATGGAATTGTTGGATATACATTCAGATTTTGATGCTTTTCAGTATTACTTTGAAAGGTTCGAAATTTGGGCTATGACCAAGGAAGATGATGAGGATGTTAATATTGTAGGACATTTCCTCAGATTCATTGGAAAGGAAGCATATAGCTTATTCAAAACTCTGGCTTTACCGGAAAAGCCCATTTCGCTTCCTTATACAACTCTCAAGGAACTACTGCTAGACTATGTTAAGTATACAAATTCTGATTGCGGTAAAGGGAGATTTCGAAAAATGATTCACAAGGATATAAAAAATTTCACTGCATTACGTCATCCCAACCCAGTTCATACTCAAGGTTATGCAGATAATTCATTGAGGAGTTGCAATGCAGTTTACAAAGATGGGTACAAGTCTGGTCAAGGCTTGTCCTCTGGCAGGTTCCACTCTTTTAATTCATGTAAATTTCGTAATTCTAAGTGCTTTAAATGTTCCGATTTCGGTTGTTAATTCTAATACTAATGAGCACATTCTAGATAATACAGTTTTTATCCAATACAATGTCGGACAGACACAGGATGAACTTAAGAAGAAGACGTACAATCGATTACAGACACTTAGACTCTAATTTAAGCTGTGGCAAATGTGGTGTTTGAATGAACTAATGATTCCTTTGTACTTGTTGAATGCTTGATTGCAAATTGCAAATTCAGTACATTCGTTTGTGCTGATCTAGTACTTCTTGATCCGATTACGTTATTTCTGGGACTCTTAGTTCATACTATAATTCAAATACTCCTAATTATCATACATATTCTTACATCTACTATAAACTTTACATGTTTCAACTAATTTACATAGAAATTCTCAATTGAAGTAAAAGCAAAACACAAAAAACTGTTTTGTTTCAATTAACTTTCCAACGAATTCTTTTCAAAAAGAAAAGTGTCTACAATCATGATTTCCCATTTAACATTCATAAAAAAATGCCAAAAACAAAAAAGAATGCACTTGATGAATAGGGTAATGTAATTCTTATTGAAAATGTGTAGTTTTTATTGTTCACCATTTTATTCATTCCTTCACTCACTCACTCATTCTTCACTAATATTGAATGTTGATATAAAAAAAAGAGAAAAGGAACATCCACTTCATAATTCACATAAACTTTTATTTTTATTTATTATATCACAATATAATCAGTAAAAAAACATCGTTTTCAAGTGTTTGTTTGTTTCATCTAATGGTAAGTTCTGTTATGGTAATAAAGTTGGATACTTGCATTTAGTGCAGCTTGAGTTATGCTTGTTGTAAGTGTATACAAATATATATATATATTGGGAGAGAGAGTGTGTGTGTTTGATTGGTTTTGTACTGTTTACTTGATTGTTCACATTGATGTTTATGACTGTAATTGATCAGTCTTTTATTGACATATGTGTATCCTGTTCGGAATGCCTAGATGTAGTCTTAAGTCATAAGCTCTTTAAGCAAAGATGTATAGTGGCTAGCAGTGGGATCCAGGACTCATGAACTGGATATACCCGTATCATAGTTTGTGTTCACTCCTTAACTCGAACCAAGTAATGTTCACTTCAAACGCTATCAAGTTATCCATCATCTACTAAGTTAATAAACAGATCCAAACTAACAATGCAAAAATGTATTCAAACTTCACCCCATTACACAAGTTAGTGGCTATCAGGACTCAGCAGCTAAATGGATATCTCGATGGTGTTTGAAGCGAAAAGTACGGGGTCTGAGTCCCAAAGTGAACATCATTTCTGGGATGCAGGTGCATCCATCTGACGAGTCCGAAATAGGACGAAACGAGCATCCTGGATTCCGCTGCTAGACACCATCCATTTTTGTTTATAGTACATCTATGATTAACTGTTTAATTTTTATCAATTTTTCTTTCCAGTTAAAACAGTTTCTTCCTAGATTTGTACGTGTAGAAGTCTATAGTATGTGGAAAAATTGATACACATTAACATATATAGATATAGAATGATTAGATGGTGGTTGGAGGTAGTCATCAGGAAACCCTGGACCCGGGTTTCGTGCCACTTGGCACTCGTCAGCA